GGGTAATAAAATAATTGCTGATGTTAGATTTCCCCCATAACTATTACAAAAGCACAAAAAAGTATAAATAAGTATTTATATTTGTGTACAAGCTGTTCAGATTGTCAAAAAGCCTGTGTTTTTAGGGTTATTAACAAAGTTTGTGTACTCAGACCAGTAATATTTGGGGTCACAAGTTTTTGCTATGGATATTTTGAGGGTCAGAAGATAAAAAGTTTGGGAACCACTGACATATCCCAAGTGTTAACAGTAAATCAAAGGGACTAATGTGAGGAGATAATTTTGTATAGACAATGGGTTTAGAGGGGCCCCCACATCAATTTCTACCCAAAGACCCTATAAAATCTCAGACCAGCTCTGTCCACTGACTGTAATGAATAATTTACAACGGCCAGCAGGTAAAAAAAAAATCATGCAATGAGATTAAAATTTGGGATTAAGTGGAAATGACTGCACTGTAAAGAACATTACATCTGTTTTTAATAAAGCTGACAGAGGGACACGGATCAGAACAATGAAACTAATTCAAGGATTCTCATCTTTTTTTATCCTATTTCCTGTCTTGACAAATTATCCATTTTGTTCCTGAAGTGACAAATTTAGCAGCTTCATGTGTGAAACACGACAGACAGTGCTGGCAGTGTTTTATTAAAGTAATGCTTCCATCAAAAGAGGAACAAACCCTGCTTTAAGCAGGCATTCATTAGAACATCAAGGGATTTGAGGTGAAGAGAGACTGATAGAATTTCAAATAAGAGGGAGAGGAGTGGGGCCAGGGGCAGGAGGGGGTCTGCTTAGTGCGCGGTTGAGGAGGGTTGAATGTTTGGAGAGCAAAAAGTGTTTGTGTAGAGGAGGAGGAGAGAGGGACTGCGCTGCGCTGCGGCACATCCGTGCGTAAATGTGACCATCCTCTTCCCTCCATCCCTCCGACCCTCCGTCCTCACCCTCCCCTCTTGTCTACCTCCAGCGGCTCCTTCTCCTTCTCCTCCCAGCCGGTGGTCACCTCTTTTGGACCGTGGAGTCCCGCCTGTCTCGCCTCGGCGCCCTCCTCCAGGGCTTAGGAGGAGCGCCGGGGAACTCATCCAGGTTCCTGCCGGGCTTCGTGTCCACCTCCGCGGAGAGCCATGGTGGCGCGGAGCGGCGGGAGAGACGCGGCTCGACGCGCTCTCGGATGCCAGTGATGCGGGGTCTGATCGCGCCTCAGAACACCTTCTTGGACACCATCGCCACTCGGTTCGACGGCACCCGTGAGTACCAGCATCTCTTGTGTCAGTGCACACTTCTCCCTCCACAAACCAAAGAAAGGAGCTGAGGGAGGGCTTGGAGATGAATGAGTTGTAGTGGCTGAAAACATGAGAGACACCTTGCATGGGGAGAAAATGTGAATCCGAATCCTGCGTGTGTTGGGGGGAGGGGTTCCTGCTTTTAATAAAAATGTAAAAAAAAAAAAAATCAGTCAATATTAATCCTGAAGAAAGAGTGTAAACAGGGTTGCAAAATAGTCAAATAAGTCCAATAGATCTAATGAGAAATGAACCCAAAACTCCACAAAGAGTAGCAAACCCATATTAACAAAGTTTCAGTTCTAAAACAAAAACATTGTTTGTGTAAAACTGTCATCGAACTGGAAACGAAGAGGGATTGACATGAGTAAAATACTTCCAAAGCTGTCCAAATTATAGGGGAATCAACACAAAATAAGATAAACGAGGTTTAAAGCAGCTTTAAAGAATAACAGAATTGCAGTTTATACAAGAATGAAGGTCTTTACCTGCTTGTTCATTTTAGTTTATAGGTTCTTTAGGTGGAAGAGGCTGGGGGTCCAGAAGGCTATTTATCCTTCCATCCACCCCTGCATCCATCCATCAATCCATCTATCCATCTATCCATCCTTACATCCATATACACATCTGTTCAGCCATTCCTTTCTTCCTTCCTTCCTTCCTTCCTTCCTTCCTTCCTTCCTTCCTTCCTTCCTTCCTTACATCCATCCGTACA